TGGTACATACGGCGGGACTAGTCAGACTACGACAGTTCAACTGTCGAAGAGGCGGGTCTAGGAAGGCCTCGGGGCAATGCAAGTGACCCTGCGTGAAATTTTGGGAACCCAACTCTTAACCCTCTAACTGTCCTGAAAATTGGTGCAAGGCTCAAGGGTAGCAGTTACATTTACTTCCCGGGACCGCGCGCCGAAACCCCATCTTTATGTAATATGGGACTAGTGGTAATGAAAATTGTAAAGTCTGGGCATTACAGAGGAAAGAAAGTGTATATAAAAAAGTGGAGCTCATCACAGTAAAAAAATAGGAATAATTGTTCAAATAGTCTAATGCCTTACAACAGAAAGCACGTGCTACTGTCTTCTGATGAGGTCTCTGATGAAGAATCCACGACGGATGTAGAAAAATCACGCGAATAAAAGTAGTGGCCCAGCGATCGCATCTTTTTCTTTTTCTCAATACAGGTGGTCTTGCGCAAAGCCATAAGACTGATCCTAAATGTACCTCTGGCCCCACCCTTAACACTAAAATCCCTGGAAATCGGCGTAAGGCACCATGCCCTGTCTATTGAAGGTCTTCGACCTGCAGCACCAAGACTGGTTAGGTAAAGAAGCCCAAATCCCGGGGCCTGTTCTCGATAAGAAACAGTGTCGCGAAAACCCCATCAAATAACCTCGCCGTTAACAAGACGGCATTTTTTCCTTGTCAAGGTGTTACTTTTAGGACCAAACAGGGGGATCTTTTAACAACGAAGTCGAAGGTTAAAAACTACGGTTGTATAAAAGTCCCAATAGGTTACGGCAATTTCTGTCACATTTGAAGCCGATGACACATTCAATGAGTGGACATATCCCATTCTCGTCGCGTCGTTGATAAGTCATGCAGACAGAGGGTGAGATCCACTTGTTGTCAGTTCCGTGTTATCATATGAACTCCGACCGGGCGAAGGAGAATCAGAGAGTAATTTACGATCTATTTTCAACCAACTTCCCATTGCGGGCTTTTCAAATTCAGCTGCCATTTTTTTCCTCCATCCATTCGCATATAAATTATCTTATATATATACGTCGGTTGGCCTACTTCGCCCATTATAAACCGATTTTTATCCCTCTTTGTTTATTTGAACTACAATGAGGTCATGGGTGCACGACGCTAGCGCCCTTTTGAAAGCAGTTCAATTTGGCCTATATTTGACGAACTTTCCAAGGACATTTCTCCACAACGTCGACAATTGCAGTCAGTCAGACTATGGTGCGCTTTTGATCTCCCGCTGTTGTAATTTTGTGCGCCTAATTTAATGCCTTATGAAAAGAGGGCGTTTTTGTCCAAAAATTTGGAATTATATTTTCAAAATAAAGTGTATCTTTCTCTCTCTCTCTCACCATCCATTTATGCCGCATTTTGTATATCGCTCAGTAATCGGATAATAGATTGGTGTAAACAGTAATCCTGTGAAATCGCAAAGCGGCCGTCCTCTGAGGCAGAGGTGTCAGAATTGACTTCGAGTAATCCGACGGATAAACCTAAAAAAGATCCTCCAGAGGAATTGAACCCGCAAGGATGGCTTGTGTGGACGCCTAAACAATACAGATTGCTTTGCACCCAATCCTAGGGAAATCGTTTTAGGAGCAAGGTGATAATGAGGGTAACGTTTACAGTCAGTTTATGGTTGGGGTTAGGGCCAGGATTATGTTTAGAGTAGGGTTGAGGTTTAGGAAAGAACTAGGGTTAAGATGAAGGTCACAGTTTAGGTTTATGTTAGGACTAAACTACGGGCGGGGCGCTCTTGTGGCCTATCTAGACGGCCATAAAAGTCATCCCTGCCCAAAAGAAAATAATCAACCCCACCGCTGTCGTCTTGCAAACAGATAATAGAAACAAAGACTCAGCACATGCCACTTCGGGCGGGTTGCTTCGATCATACCCTTCAACATTTGTCATCATCCTGAATTATTCAGTAACAAAGTTCCCTTTGTCTGAGGAACTTAGGATGCAGAAAATAAGCTTTATAGCCAGGTTGAAAAATTTTCCTTGCTCCTGTCTACATCTTGGCAAAATGTTTAAGGCCAAAGGGAAAGGATCAATGCAGACAGGCCGTTAATCGGACTTCGCATAAAAGCATGCTCGTCGATAGACGCTTGAGCCCAACATGAAAGCAAAATAGGCAAAAAAGGCCGCATACTTCGCTTGAAAGCACAACACAGAGATTGAAAAAAATATTCGGCTACCAGTCAAGAACACGCGAGCAATGTCAGCTTCATCGGGATCAATTAAGTTAAGTACTACAAAACCCTGTCTATGATTAGAGACGAATATGCGCGGTCCGGACTCTCGTTGCAAATACGCTCACGCAAACATCGTGACAGTAGTTGTATTGGCCCGAGCTTTTGGACTTACGCAGAAGTATGCCTTCAGAAGTTATGCCAGTGCAACAACAGAACAGTTTTTTGGTCTGACGAGCAGGAAAGGAGGCAATAGGGAAGGGGGCGGAGGGGCGGCTGTTGAGCTGGACTCAAACCGTCTAAATCTCTACGGTGTGTGTGTCGTAGCCCTTGTTGGAGCAAGAGTCCCCGCCGGAGTCCAAACTGGTTGTAGTTGGAAGACGGCGATAGCCGAGACCTCAACCGGCTTGAGCCAAAAGTCTACGTGGGTGAGTTGCTGACAGTCATGCGGAGAGACGCCGCAATCGGGACAAATGTC